CGCTGAGAAGAAGGGTCATGTATGTCCGCCTTCCAGCGCGACGCATCCAAAGGACCGATGGGAGACGGCGTTTGTGTACTCATTCCTCTACAAGTTCACTCAGCTCCGAGCTAAGACGGATGGCTTGAATTCACCTATGGAGTAAGCACTATGATATTATGCTTTGTCTCTGCCTTACCGTTGCATACCATATCCACAGTTTTGAGGAAGCACTGCTTTCTCAAGAGCCCAATCCCGTCATCACACAGGTGCTCGCGCGGTTTGTCCTAAACTTGAAGCCGCAGACGCGTAATTTAAGGTGAGAAAGAGTCCTCATGTTCTCCGTTATGTCAGGAACGTGTATCCGACGCGTCAAGGCCCTTAGCTCGGATCTCATATCCTCCACCCTTGCTGCCGTGACGCTGGAGTACCTCAAGACTTCTGAGAGGACAGTTTTCTGGAATGACGATTTGGGGGCAAATATGGATCCCTTTTATGAGATGCCCAATGGTTTTTTCGCCGCTCATTGGGATCTCAAGGTGTGTGCACTGTCATTACGGTCTTTCATCCTGGTATGATTTATGCGTTCAATCTAGCTGAAGGTACTGCGACAGCTAGTTGAATTGCAGCTATGCCATAGCACTGAGATCAAGGCTCTTATTGACCGCGCCTGGGGTGTCATTCACAACAAACACAAAAAGGGAGAAATGACGCCGGCCCAACCGCCTCCTAGCGATCCTCATAGCCAGCAAAATATACAACTTGTCCCCCTCGGCCAGGACAAGGATCGCAAACGCTACTGGGCTGTAGATGGTCCGTGCACGTTTTCCCCTTCTTTCCGCAACGCATATCCTATTTGTTTCTATTTACGTCTCAAGGAGACCATTCAGCTGTGTTCGGCATCTTGCGAATTTCGCTTGGTTGATAGTGGCATTCGGCCTTTGAAGTATTTTTGTTTGACATTTTTCTTACAGATTCACCGCGGCTGTATATGTCGACAAATCCATGGAAAATCACCGCGACATTTCATGCCATTTCGTCTACTCGGGACGAATATATGGGCATTGTCGACAAGCTCAGGGAAACGGCGCCGCTAGAGCCCAAGGGAGGTGAACGGAGAACCAAATTGGAGCAGTCCCACATCACTCTTCTGAAGGCCCTAGAGTCTAGAATAGAACTCATCGATGCTGAATTGGCGGTGAGTTTCCTCGTTCCTTCTTCAGTCTTCGCATGAGAGCGATAGGGTATGAAGTGACCTGATATGCTAACAGGCGAATACCATCATTTCCAATTTTATGACCGATGATTGCTGTCCCACGTGATGCTGACTTATTGGATGCAGCGAATCCAGCGTGCACGGAGGAAATTGGAGCAGCGGGCCTTATTGATTGCCCAAGCGGAAGTACGAGAAACCCGAACCCGACGACGGACGACACGTCCCGATTATGCGTACATGAATGATCCAATCAGTGAGGCGAGTGAAGTATCTTCGAACTATGTTTCTGCACTGACTGATGCTACGTACACTGGTTGCAGGATGATCAAGATGAATACACCTATCAAGAACAAGATGATGATGAATATAATGATGATGAGGTGGAATACAACGACCCCCCTGATTTTGGGAACGGGGACCCTTCAACGTCAACTCGTCGTACCGCAACACTGGGGACACGACGGTCCACCCGGGGATCGAACACCGTAAGCAATGGGAAGCGTAGTGCTAGCGGGGACGAATGGAGCGAGTGGCGAGGGGAACGCCGCTCCTCACGTCTTGGTGCGCCTCCTGAAACTCAGTTCGTCGGGCCACCTCCGAAGCGGGCCCGTACAGAGGATAGCATTGTTAGTACGAATTCAACGGATGGGGCAATAGCTGTGGCTCCGGCGCAGAATGGCGGCAGCCTCAAAATCAAGATCCATGGCGCTGCAGCAGTTAAGCCAACCGAGACTGCAGTGGAGGCTGTTGCGGGGAAGAAGAAAAGCAAGTACTGGTACTATGCCATTGAACCTGTAGCGGGCGCGCGACCACCAGCTCCCGCAATGAATATGGATGCGCAAGACTCGTCAGTCACTAATGGTCACACGAATGGGTCGCGTTCCGAGGCATCACTTGATAGTAGGCACTCGAATGGTGACGTCGATGTTGATATCTATGAGAAGAGCATAGAAGGTAGCCTGTCGCCAACGTCGAGCATGGATGAATCGTGACTTTGCTGAATGTTTTTCAGCATTTTATGCGCAGTATCTATATCTCTAGCATTGCATACGCATCTTGCCTACAGTCCTTCCGCAAGTCATTAATTCGTGCATCGTACTTGTTATTACTGCAATTAATCTGGTAGATTACTCTCAAGCTCTGAAGCCTGCTAGTCCTAGTAGAAAATACAAAGATGTGTTGTGTTGTTAACTTGTTATTGCTCAGAGATGATACGATGTGAACGCGCTGAAGAGTGCGAGATGTGACTCTCCACGAGGCGGGAGATTGCACCGATTGTGATCTCGGTGGGTGCCGCGAGCGAGCGAGCACATCTGGACAGCAGACGGGCGCCTGTGACTGCCCCCGACTTGTCCTTCGACCGTCGTCTTCTGTCCATGCTCGCAAAGGCGGCCAGGGATGCTCTCTCCAAGCACGCAAAGCTCGCCTTCCGCTTCAAAGGCTGCCTCAACGCAAAACGAGCTGCCCCTCATTTCATCTCCCGGCCTGCGACCGCCACCGCTACACTCCCGCCACCGGCTTCGCGAGACGACACGGAACTCATAGCCCTCTTCGATCAGCCACAACTTCCTCAATGGTCGGCCACAACTTCCACTACTGGTCTCTTTGGGCATGCCGTCTTGACTACGCCCACAGCATTTGTCGCTCTAGCCGAGTCTGCCCTTCGCAGAGCCCAGCTCCTGACCGCGCGCGTCTTGAACGCGCGCCAGTCACGAGAAGACCTCTTCAAGGTGGTGAAGAATCTCGACAGGTTGAGTGATCTTTTGTGCAGCGTCATAGACTTAGCGGAACTTGTCCGCAATGCACATCCAGACAGAGCCTGGGTTCAAACCGCCGACAACATTTACGAAAAGTTATGTGAATTTATGAACGTACTAAATACCCATGTTGGCCTATACGAGGTACGCATACGGCGGTCCTGACACCGTGAGCCCATATTCAATAAACATAGGTTCTTAGTGTAGTTTTCTCCGATCCGGAGATCGTACGATCGTTAGGTCCGGAGGCGTACCAGACAGCCTTGATATTTTGGAGGGATTTTGAAAAGTCTGGCATTGACCTTCCTCCAGAACAACGCAATCGCTTCGTCTCATTATCGACAGAGATTATCTTGCTCGGTCGGCAGTTTCTCAATGAAAGTGCCGCTGCTCGACCTCCCGCACTAATCAAACCCTCCGAGTTACAGGGATTGAAGGACATGGGGCTTGGCGCTCGCTTGCGACTGCAGGCACAGGTAACTAACCGAGATCTTCATGTGTATCCCGGATCGCTGCAAGCACAAATGATCATGCGCTCTGCACCGGAGGAGGGACCTCGGAAGAAGGTGTATCTAGCAGCAAATGCAAGCACACGCGATCAGATTGACACTCTCGAGAAACTCTTACGCGCCAGGGGCGAGCTCGCTCGCTTAGTGGGGAAGAGCAGTTTTGCACACATGACATTGTCAGACAAGATGGCCAAATCACCAGGTGAGCTTATTAATATGGCTCCATCGAACTCGTATTCAATATAACCCCAGAGAATGTACAGCGCTTTCTAGATGCCCTAATGGACCATACGCGACCATATGCCAGGAGCGCATTGCGGACTCTAAGTATGCGAAAGCAGGCACACCTTCGCACACCTCCATACCCTATAATCCAAGCCTGGGATAGAGATTATTATTGTCCACCAGAGCCCCCAGCGCCACCAGTGTCTCTGCCGCCGCTGACGCTAGGCACGGTGTTTATGGGTCTCTCTCGACTCTTCCAAAACTTGTATGGAGTATCTCTGCGTCTTGCAAGCCTTGCACCAGGCGAGGTATGGCACAATGATGTACGAAAATTGGAGGTCGTAGACGAAGAGTCTGGCGTGTTGGGCTGGATCTACGCGGACCTTTTCGCGCGAAGGGGCAAACCCGGTGGAGCCGCGCATTACACTGTGCGGTGCTCACGGAGAGTCGACGACGACGATGTTGAAGGCGATTTTCTCCAGGCCGATGAGCATGACAGGGCCCTTGTAGAAGTATCTCGAGAGTTCGAATTTGCGCCTCGGCGCCGGTTCCCCGGCCAAGAAGGCACGTTCCAACTTCCCCTGGTTGTCCTATTATGCGGATTCACCAGACCAACAATCGGTCGAGGACCTACAATCCTCGATTGGCATGAGGTAATGACCTTGTTCCATGAAATGGGACATGCCATGCACTGTGAGTACCCTCGATCGTTCAGATCCGAATGATGCGTTTACGCCGAGAACATTCGCAGCGATGATCGGTCGCACAGAGTACCAGAACGTTTCCGGCACCCGCTGCGCGACAGACTTCGTCGAGCTTCCCTCCATTCTGATGGAGCACTTCCTCAGTTCTCCCGCCGTGCTCTCCCTCTTCGATCCCGATGGCGCATTTGCCATCCGACAAACGGGGAATCACCACGAGGATCCATGTCGTGCCATAGACACGCATACGCAGATCCTGCTTGCCTCGCTCGACCAAATCTACCACTCCCCCGCCGTGCTTGGCGCTCAGTTTAACTCGACGCACGCGCTCGCGCAGCTGTACGAAACGCGCGGGCTCATCCCGTACGTCTCAGGGACGTCCTGGCAGACGCAATTTGGGCACCTATTTGGGTACGGCGCAACATATTACTCGTATCTCTTCGACCGCGCCATCGCGTCACGAGTGTGGCGGAAACTCTTCGCGCACGATCCGCTCAACCGCGAGACGGGCGAGAAGTACAAGCATGAGGTACTGCGCCATGGGGGGGGGAGAGACCCGTGGATGATGATCGGGAAGTTGCTGGACGCACCGGAGCTGGAGACTGGGGATGCGGAAGCGATGGCTGAGGTGGGGAGGTGGAAGATTGAGGATGAAGTGTCCATACCAGGACGGCATTAGCTTATAGCCCTCGTGGGAACGCGATCTACCGAGCAGATTTTAGTATTGAATACTGAATGTCCAGACCGAGCTTGTAGGTTTTATGGCACATGCACCCCATAATATTCGGATGAAACATCAAGATGGCGCCTTTCCCTTGTGGACAAAGTTACATTCGCTGGATGTTAGATATGATATAATGATATACTTCACAAAGCAAGAAAAAACAAAACCGAGAACGACATCGGAAATACAGCATGGCGTTTGTGGGTTGGGTATAGAGATGACACTGATTAAATAGGAAAACTGACCGGGAGATATGTGATGCGGTCAATTGACCGACATCGACAGCTCAGAATAATGCTCTTATGGGGTACATTGCTCATTCTCGACGGCTCTTGAGCCTAGAAATAGATCATGTACAGCGAAAAGGGAACTAGAGTGGGTCTCGGCCTTAGCCTCATGAAGTCCTGGATCGTGCACATATGCATATGGGTGGTGATCTTCCGATATTAGGGGGATCACATATAGTGGGGGGGTAATGAGACCCTCGGATTCTGAGGCGTCAGAACTGCATGACGATGTCGAACGCATGGAACTTGACGACGTCGTACGTGATAACGTGTGAATGGAGAAGGTGGGCGAAGATCTGGGTATATCGTCCGGGAAGGCAGTGGGCGTTTGGGGTACACGTTTGGTGAAGCCGGCCAGCTTTCTCCTTGCCCCAGAGCCATCAGAAAATGTATACGGGTGATACGCTTGGAAAGTTTCGTTGTGCTGTCCCCTGGCATCTGGGTACAACTGATGGGCTTCTAAACCTGACAATGGGTTGGAAGGCACGAATGTCGGTTTAGATTGCATCACCAATGAGCTAGCACCGCCAACCCGAGGAAGTAATGTGGTAGACACAGATTTACTAGAACAAACCAATCCTGAATTCGAAGACGAATGCAATAAATGAGAAGAGATGGAAGACGTTAGCACAGAAGTCGGTTGGGATGCGGCGTCCACAGGCTCGACGGTCGGGCAACGACGGGATCTCCGTACACATTGCGGTTTGAACTGCGTCTCGGATTTCGTCTTGTAGATAGCGTCAGCGAAGCCACGGACTGATGATTGTTGAGTTACTGCGACAGCTCCCAGGGATGATGGAACATGATGTAGGGAAGGTAAAGGAGCCCGCGGTACGGTAGTATTGAAACCGACGGCCGTGGTACAACTTGACAGTACACTGCGGAATCGTTTGGCTGCCCGAGATGTTGTAGTTGCTTTAATAGCACCATTCAGGAAGGGCTCCGATAGATTCATCTTCGCGAATGATTCAGTTAGTTGGGCAATATCCACAGACGAGGATCGTGTCTGAAATTCAGATTGGTGTTGTCGTAGCCAGGGAGTGGAAAAGTTACGCGCTACTGTATCCGCAGGGAAGGGATTATACGAACAGGATGGCGGATAGGCAGATGGATAGACATGTAAAGGTCGATCGACGCTGAAAAGAGCGGCTGATTGTAGAGGCGGTGTATTGAGATCGTCGCTAATAGCAACGCAACCGTTGCGACTGGCTTGATCCTCGTCGTTCATACTAATGTTATCAATAACATGGCGTATAGCAAGGGGCTGTGTGTCCGAGGAGCCAGACTCGCGTGAAATGTTTCGGTCCCCTTTGGAACGATTGCGCCGATTTTGAAACTGCAGGTAGGAATCAGATTTAGAATTAGCAACCTCATGGTGCTACTTACCCATACATTGATCTGTTTATATTCTAGCGCTGTCTTTGCAGCAAGACTGAGCTTATCTTCACGGGAAGGGAAAGGATCGCATTCAAAAAAATCCTCCAGCACAGACACGACGTCCTAAGGGATGGTCAAAATATCGTCGAATAAACTATTGGAAAGCGTACTCACTTGATGGAATTGACCTTGACCACAGTCATTTTCATCTTCCCGGAACTGCGATATATGCAATTCTGCACGGATAATCACCTGTTCTGCCAATTCCTTAGACATTTTCATATATCGCGAAGTGTAGGCAGCTCTCAGCAGAGAATGTGTCTTGGTTGGAGCGTTCGGTCCATCTAAAAGCACGAGGCTACCACGCTGGAATTGTACTTCACACTCTGCCTTTAATCTAGAAACGCAGTCCATGAAAGCAGAAGAACATCGCTCCGCCATAACAACACCCAGACCAAGAGCAATTAGTTCAGCAGTTAGAGGTTGTGGCGGAGGTAGATCGAGCACGGCGCACGATGATTGATCAACGGAACGCATAGGAAATGTCAGACAAGAGCTATCAGAGATGAAGTTTGCAAATCCCTGAGCACTACGAGCAATTTTTCGAAGTATAGCGATGTCGCTGCGGTACGACATCTTGAGTGAATGAGTGTGCAAGCCTCAAGCATGAGGCGCGGATTTATCTATATGATTGTTGTTTACTGTAAGCAGCAGTAAACACCATTGTTAGGCATTTGAGTTTGAAATTGTAAGTAAATAAGAGCACGTGATGGGAAGTTGAGGGAACAATGCATCGCCATTGTAATTAACGTGTCATGAGTTCTCCCATTGTCCTCAGTAGTACTACTACAGCAGTCTCACGCCTGCAGCGGTACTCATATCACTGTCTGTCTTCGCTGGCTCAAACGATACTTCTGCATTGCCCTCATGGAAGGCATACGACAACGTCTGTCTCAAATCGAAGATGATTTTTTTGCTGCTCTCACTGACGGCCCGGTTGCTCTCGAGGTATTTGGCGAGGAATGGTCATCTTTATCCCGCGACCTAGATGCTGTACTTGCGTCGGACTCGAACATTGATTCGGACTTGGTGGCTGTGGCTTACGCAGCGGCCTCTAGAATCGAAATTCTTGCTCAAGCCTCATATGATCTTCACGTTGACTATCAGGCACTCACCATTGATGTGACCGATGAAATGGCTCAATTATCCCTGGATGATGAGCCAGTAGTTGCCTCGTCGTCGCCATCATGCCATGACGAGCCCAATGATGCCATGCAGGCAAAGATTGGTAAGATATCCTTGACGGCAGTTGCTTTCTTATATTTAACCCGTGTCTTCCAGTGGCATATTCTTGGCTTGCTGTCAATCTCCACAATCCCTACCCTTCCGTTGCTGCTAGACAAACAATCGCTCGCAGCGCTGGAGTGTCTATGCGGCAGGTCTCTGGCTGGCTTAAAACCTTGCGCAAATCTATTGGCTGGACTGCTCTCTGCAGAAAGAGATTCAGGGGATCCCGCAAAAAAATTGTTAGCGCGGCGTCCCGTGCATTCTACCGCACTTCATTGTCCGACTCCCTGTCACCCGACCTCTTATTCGAATTCAAGGCGATTCGATCAAAGGTACTTCGCTTCATCGATGAAGCGAGTAATTTACACTATCCAGAAGATGAGCACTCCTCGGAGTACGGTATTGGTGAAACTTGCGCCGACGATGTACGGGAGGACAAAGCGATATTGTCTTCGGCAGCATGCCACCCCCAACAAGTCTCTATTCCGTCGCTGTCGATCACATCCTCTCCGATGGAGGACCCTGTGGTTGACGAATATGCTGTGCGCCGAACTACGACTCACAAACGTTCGGCGTCCGCCTTGTTGGAGGCAGATGCCATTTCAAACAAAGAGCCAATCACTATGCCTTCTGCATCGGCCCCGCAAGGCGATTTCGTAAGCACGAATTCACATGCCATTGAGAGGGCTGTTAAACGTCAGCGGTACGTTTCGTTTTGCCCTTCTGTAGTCAAAGTACTTACATATACTTTGCCCTGTAGTTCTGATCATAATCTGCTCGTCTCGTCCATTCCAACAGGGGCGATTGACTATCACGTCAATTATGCCTCGTGTCTATCGCAAACTCAGGCAACTACAGCTTCGCCTTTAGGTTCTGATTTACTAAGATCGCCATCTCGCTCTGGCTCATCGGTTCGCCCTCGAAAGCGTCACTTATCTAGTCTCGACCATGCTCCCGCTCCAAAGCGAAGCAAAGGCGTGCAGGGTGCACGCTCTGTTTCAGATCCCCTGCCGATGTCTGCTGCAGAACTAGAGGAGCAGACATACAATATCAATGACTGGTACGGAGTAGTGTTCAATGTGCCAGGACCTGTATCATTGGCCACTCCCGATTCAACGACTCCTTTGGAGATTAAGGTATTCGATAACTGGGCTCCTTGGGTTATCTCACAAACTCAGAGGAATGATGATTCTACGAAACCCCCAGATGCCAGTACGTGTTCATTATCACGTGTGACACTTTGCATTGACCTGACGCTTAATGACCCTATTACAGATGCTGATCTACTTGCGAATGCCAAAGCTTCGGATTTCATATCCAGTTCGTTGAATATTACTTCTACTCCTGAAGCAATTGTTAGGGCAAACAACTTCGCGCAAGAAACCAGCGTGATTGATAATCACTTGCTCTCGTGGTCCGATGACATGAAGCCTACGTCTGCTATTGAAAGCTGCTACACCGATAGTATCGCGTCCACGCGACCTCTTATGGCGTCGAGAGCCTGCGGCCGCGATGAATTGGCGCTTCCTGCGGCACCATCCAGCGTATGCTCTGATCTCATGGGCCTGTCTGGCGAGTTCAAGGTTGTGCAACTAGATGCCATGAAGATCCACACAAATCTTTGCAATCGGGATGCGCACTCGAGTCAAGACAACGCCCTTCGATACAACGTGGAACCCTGTTCTGACTCCCCACCACCTCCTTTCATAGAGCTCAACGATTTGAGTCCACCTAGCTACACTTTGCTGGACCAATTTGCCGAACCCGGCTTTACAATTCCTCCCCCGCCCTACTGTTCCTCTCCGGAGAAGAAAGGTCCCTCGCAGGATCTTGAGGGCCTGGATTCGGAATTGGGACATCCCGCTATGTGGATCACATCTATGCCGAAATATGCGTTTTCAGTCGAAGGCTGGGGCAGCGACATAGCATCCACAATTGAACAGACGAACTTGCAGACAATATGCAGACTCGATTGAACATTATAGGTATGCCAAAGAAGTGTTTTTACTTGTCTGGCCCGAAAGTCCTCGCAGGTTCACACTCCCAATTTGCCATGCTACGCTAGTATCAGCTATCTATTCCTAATTTATGTTTGCTTTTGCTTGCTTTCCACTGTGATACTTGCATCCGTCGCTCACATACTCCGCTCTGCTTGCTTATTGCTCTTGTCGCTGACGTTCTTATTCTTGTTTACTTGTAAGCCTCTGCTATCATCATTCCTGTTTCGTGCCCCTTGCTATCACATCTCCTATATACCCTGTGCGTCTGGTTTGCCTCTTATATACCCATTCACCTTAGCTACATTTACTGCACTCTTGTGTACTCTGCGTCCACTATTGTTTGATCCATGTAGCCTTGTATATACCAAATAGTCTCATACCAAACCGTTCCTCTTCACGTCTGAGGAATTTGGGTCAAATTGGGAACTGCAAATATATTAGCTTTGGTTTCGCAGATGAATCGATCACGGCTCATGCGATGGGCATATATTCCGCGTTGCTCGATGGCTTGAGTCGCCTTGTCCCGTCATTACGCTAATTGCTTGACGTGGGTATTCACCAACGTTCGCTTTCGATGCGACCTTTCTTCCACGAAGCGACGGACCCAAAAATAGAATAGGGATAGGTGCCTACTTGTGTTACTGTCCTTGGGCCCTATACATTGTAAGTTATGCTCAGCGATAATACGATATTGACGGTGACCGAGACGTCGAACTGTATGAAAATGCGTACCTAAGAAGCTCGATCCTTCTGTGCTATTCTGCCCTATTCTTTAACGTTCCTTTTGCGAGCTGGTACGCTCACGTAGCTGCCGTATCCCACGCTGGATCGAAGACGTGAGGTCCTGGTCACAGAACGATAATGATGGCAACTGCCCAACAAAGAAACAAAACGATCAATATACAATCACTAAGTGCACGAAACTGATTCGCCTCACTCTCCACGATCGAAGGTGTCGGATGACCCAAGGTTGCTAACGCAATAGCAAGATTCATCAGGTTGACGTTATCTCCACCCATTATGGTCCCCACTGCATGACGCAAGAAATGAGTCAAATCCGTGAACCAGCAACATCCACTGGAATCAAAGATTAATGAATTGTGTTGATGTGCTACTCATTGCACAACACACATCTGGCATTGATCTTTTGTACTACTAGCCTCAGAACACATTTTTCCTCATCTTATATCTGCTAATGGGCAAGATCAGAGGATTGTATGTCTGTCAGGGTATCGCCCCTGACCCCAACTCTAAACCCTAACCCAACACTCACAGGCAAATGCTGAAGTTTCAAGAGGTAAGTGATTTGCTTGTCTTGGGAGTGGTTAGACTCAGAGGATGAGTTAAGAGGCCAAGTAGTGAGGGTGACTAAAGAATATTCAGTCTGCCCTCCTACAATGTATTGCTCTGGTATTTATACATAAGGGACCAGACCCCTAACACTACTGATAGTATGCCTAACACCTAGGCTGACTGATGCTTGCAATATGCTATTGGCTATCTAAGAGTACCTAGTGTGTAAACCATTGCCCTGTCCTTGTGTTCAGTCAGCAATTCATTTGTGATGATCACCTGAACGACTGTGTGTGTTCCTAGTACAAATGGGGAAA